GAAGGGTAGCAAAGCACGTAGCATTGGAGGGGGATACAAACTGTTTTATTATGGTGTGGACAGGAAGAGAAATGGCGTAGGAGTGATCCTGAAGGAGGAGCTCGTGAGGAATGTTTTAGAGGTGAAAAGAGTGTCAGACAGGGTGATCAGTTTGAAGTTGGAAATTGAAGGGGTAATGTTGAATGTATGTGGGCTAAGAAAGGAAGTGGATATCTGTGAGCAGCAGTATGGCTTCATGCCCAGAAAGAGCACTACTGATGCAATTTTTGCTCTGAGAATGTTAATGGAGAAGTATAGAGATGGTCAGAAGGAGCTGCATTGTGTCTTTGTGGATTTAGAGAAAGCGTACGACAGAGTGCTGAGAGAGGAGCTATGGTACTGTATGAGGATGTCAGGAGTGGCAGAGAAGTACGTCAGAGTAGTTCAGGATATGTATGAGAGGAGTACGATAGTAGCGAGATGTGCTGTAGGTCAGACAGTGGAGTTCTAGGTGGAGGTGGGGCTACATCAAGGATCGGCTTTGAGTCCATTCTAGTTTGCTATGGTGATGGACAGGTTGACAGATGAGGTCAGACAGGAATCTCCTTGGACAATGGCGTTTGGGGATGGCATTGTGAGTCTGGAAAGAAGAGGAATGAAAGTCAGTCATGGTAAGACAGAATACAAAGGGAGGGAAGTGGAACAGTGAGGTTACAGGGGACTGAGGTCAAGAAAGTGGCAGAGAAGTACGTCAGAGTAGTTCAGGGTATGTATGAGAGGGGTACGACAGTAGTGAGATGTGCTGTAGGTCAGACAGAGGAGTTCAAGGTGGAGGTGGGGCTACATCAAGGATCGGCTTTGAGGCCCCTTCTTGTTTGCTATGGTGATGGACAGGTTGACAGATGAGGTCAGACAGGAATCTCTGTGGACAATGATGTTTGTGGATGACATTGTGATCTGTAGTGAGAATAGAGAGCAGGTGGAGGAACACCTGGAATGGTGGAGGTCTGCTCTGGAAAGAAGAGGAATGAAAGTCAGTCGTGGTAAGACAGAATACATGTGTATGAATGAGAGGGAGGGAAGTGGAACAGTGAGGTTACAGGGGGCTGAGGTCAAGAAGGTGCAGGAGTTTAAGTATTTGGGGTCAACTGTCCAGTGTGATGGGGAGTGTAGGAAAGAGGTGAAGAGGCGAATGCAGGCGGGTTGGAGTGGGTGGAGAAAGGTGTCAGGAGTGTTGTGTGACAGAAGAGTGTCAGCAAGAATCAAAGGAAAGGTGTACAAGACAGTAGTGAGACCAGCTATGCTGTATGGGTTAGAGACTGTAGCAGTGAGGAAAAGACAAGAGGCAGAGATGGAGGTAGCAGAGATGAGGATGTTGAGGTTCTCTTTAGGAGTGACCAGGATGGACAGGATTAGGAATGAGCATATCAGAGGGACAGCTCAGGTCGGCTGTTTTGGGGACAAGGTCAGAGAGGCCAGATTGAGATGGTTTGGACATGTGCAGAGGAGGGATAGTGGTTATATTGGTAGAAGGATGTTGGAGATGGAGCTGCCAGGCAAGAGGTCAAGAGGAAGGCCAAAGAGAAGATATATTGATGTGCTAAAAGAGGGCATGAAGTTAACTGGGGTCAGAATAGAAGATGCCGAGGATAGCATTAGGTGGAAACAGATGATTCGCTGTGACGACCCCTAATGGGAACAGCCAGAAGAAAGAAGAAGAGCAAGATGAGGAGTAAAAATAGTTGTCATATACAAAACCATTCATCCACAAAATCTCCCTACAGTGTACACATGTATTGAATAAAACACAGGTAAATACATGCTCAGAGGCCCTGTTATCTAAAGTCTTTACCTTGTTTTACACCCACAGTGGCTGTTTAATAATGAAGTTTGGGAAACTATCAGCTGTGCTTACTTTAACTGAGAGCTCCAGTGATTCAAATTAATGCACAAATAGAAAGGTTTCAATTTTTCCCAAATCAGCTGGGACAGAAGTTGTATGCTTGTGACATCAGTCCAACACACCGGATCAAGCAGACACAATCTGAAAAAATGATATCTGCAGAAACCATGTTCAGTCACATCTTCATCATATTCAGCTTTCAATTCACAGTCAGCAAATTCTTTCAAGTATCAATAGACACAAAGCAGATAATTTGATCAGGGAATTAGATTTTCAGTGCTGGCAGTGGTTCAATATAGATACAATGAGACAGAATGGAGACATCACAGTTAAACATTATGAGTCACCTCTTTGTCACTGACAGCCTGCTGATCATGACAAAGCATTTTCTATGGCAATTCAAACATTACTCTTGAGGGCCTAATTCTCTGCAACAGCTTGGAAAGGGTTGGGTTCATTTATTCCTAATCCCACATTTTATTGTCCAATTAAACATCAATTACTGCACTGTGTCCTGAACTAACCAGTGAACTCTTTCTTTCTCCATCATGCTATCCCAGGAGGTGGTGGAGGCTGTTGGTGCAGGCGCGAATCCTGGCAGCAACGTCACCTTTGTCAGCAAGTGGGATCTAGCCAGTGCCTTTTTTTTCTCAGGGACAGTCATCACAACCATCGGTGGGTGTCCAGCAGAACCATAAGGCCACTACATTTACAGTGAGGAACAGAAGTATTTGAACACCCTGCGATTTTGCAAGTTCTCCCACTTAGAAATCATGGAGGGGTCTGAAATTCACATTGTAGGTGCATTCCCACTCTGAGAGACAGAATTAAAAAAA